AATAAATGAGCATAATTAAATTAGTGTCACTGGTGTCTGATTACTGTTTCATTTGAATGAAGAAGAAAGAAACATCACTGGCTACAAAAAAATTTGGGGGTTACTAATCAATCTAAATTTGGTACATAAAGGTTAAATAATTTATTTATTTAATACAGTATTTGACCATGTTGCTAGTGTGAGATTTGTGCCTTGGTATGTGCACACTTTTTATTTACTTTGAAAGTCCGTTAATATTGATTTGGAGAATTTATAATAGTTTGATTATTTTGATGTGTACATAAATTTGAAATTATTATTTTTAGTTCGGACTTGTAATATAGTTTACAATTTTATCTAGCTTATTTAGTTTGAATTGTGATATGACTAATTTTATTATTTTAATGGATACTTGTTAGATGATTGAGACCAAATGGCCTAACGGTATCATCCTTTGGGGAAGTCAGGAGTTCGAACCTCGGTAGAAATAAGGTGTGTGCATTATTTGCTTTAACTTCATATATATATTCATTTTGAAAATTTTCAATAAATTGCAATCAAATTTGAAAAATGTTTTGTTTTTGGAAAACAAATACGATGCACTTGAATATATATATATATATATATATATACTCACTGGTGTGCAAAGAATTTATACATGAATTAAATTATCACCGTTGAATATAAAACATAAACTACATTTTTAACTGCCAAATAGAATTCAACGGTTACTACTTTAGGTGTGCATGTATTTTCTTGCACACCAGGGAGCAAGAGAACAATCCTGTATGTATATATGTATATTTATATATATATATTCTTCCTAAGTATGCACTTGGGCATTTCAGTCTCTACACAGTGAATTTGACATTAAATAATTAGATATTTAACTAGTATAGTTTTAGATTTTAAAAATCATGAACATTAAATTATTGACTTTCAGATATTTTAGTGATGCATGAATTTTAGAAAAAGTTAAAAATTTGAAAAGATTCGATTGAATGATAAACACATTTTAAAAAAAAAGATAATTTTTTTTAAAAGTCTAAGTAAATGATGTGTGAGTAGTCTTTATTTTAGTTATGATTTTTAATGAAATTATGAATAATTCATAAAAATGAAGGACAATGAAAAATAGAGAATGTTAAGTCACTAGTAGGACGAGAATATAGCATTTTATTAGGAAAAGACACGATGTAAGTATAGGAATAAAAACAAGTCAAGATAAATTAGACCCAAAAAAAATCATTACAGTGTAGTTAATTGAGGAAAAGACACGATGTAAGTATAGGAATAAAAACAAGTCAAGATAAATTAGACCCAAAAAAAATCATTACAGTGTAGTTAATTGAGTCACATCGAATTTAATATACTCACACCAACCCCTAATTCATAAAGTTGTTCACGTAAAAAAAAAAAAAAAATCATTATAGTGTAATTAATTGAGTCACATCGAATTTAATATACTCACACCAACCCCTAGTTCATAAAGTTGTTCACATACTCTTTATGTTGTGTATTTAATTGAGTCACATCGAATTTAATACACTCACACCAACCCCTAGTTCATACATACTTCATCTTTATTCTTTACTTTTTGTTGCTTTCTTTTCTTTTGACTTTCTTCTGGCACAACTGATCACAACCATATACATGACACACACATATACACACACATATCCATATAATAAGTGGACCCTACCAAATCATATATCAAAAAGTGCATGCTAGTATTTATGTGGGTACAACTGTTTGGTTGTCTGGATGAGTGTGTGTAAAAGATATACAAAATAAAAAATAAAAAATAAAAAGAAGAAGAAAAAAACAAATAATAATAATAATAAAAGAAGTTGAATTGTGTGTGCTTCGGGATGACAACCAGCTTTAAATTTGTATTCTTCCTATTTAATTAATAAGAATTTCATATTCTTTACGGACTGTCTCATCCGGCTCCTTTTATACCTGTTTTTTTTTGGTCCCTTGTTCATAAACTAATGTTGGCTGCTCAAGTTGACATTGATTAAACCGACTATATTTTTGCATTGTAGATGTGTGTTCAGTACTTAAATATTACTCATTAAAGTACTTAAGTGTACTAATAAAAATTACCACATTAAGAAATAAAATATATATATTTATATAAAAAATTATAGTCCTTTCTTTTTAAACCTATGTTGGCTAATTTATTTCATGTTGATTAATTTAAACCTATTTCTAAATTTTATTATATTGTCCTTTTGATTTTCATTTTTTATAGAAGCCATTTCAGCAATAAATAAGAATTTCTTATGCAAGTATTTCATGTTGTTGGGAAGGGAATGAGGGATAAAGTTGTCTTTAATGGTGATTTTAGTTAAACACATGTACTTTCCAGAAATAAAAAGAATGGAGAAATTAAATAGTGGGAATTAACAAGTTAATTATTAAAATATGCTTTGCCTCTCTACTTAGACACTCAATTTTTATCATCCTTATCAAAATAAGAGAAGGCTACATCAACCTTTTATTTCATTTTGTTCAGTAATTAATACTCCGTACAATAATAATAATAATAAAGATCAATTAATTATCTCCTTCTCTTTTATTTCCTTCCTACTTGACTAAACAATTTGTTTTCGTAACTTTTAGGGAGCCAAGAATGGGAGTCAAAAAAAAAAAAAAAGGATATATTTTCACTTATTAATTCACAAGGCAAAAGGAACTAAATATGATATTACTATTTGTTAATTTGAATGGAAAATAAGAAATTATTTTTTACCAAAATCAGGGGCAAAATGAGTAAATGTTAAACTTATATCTTTTTTCGTCAATTCTTTTCATTTTTTACGTGTGGGAAATAGAGCTACAATAGTTTAAATTTTTGTTTGGTTTAGTGTTTTCTATTTTTTATTTTTCATATAATAGAAAAAAATCGTTCTAATTGTAGCTCCTTGTCCTTACTCTTTTATCCCATTCCTGGCCTTTCTCCCAAAACACTGGTCCAATGCAAAACTAATGTTGGCTGAGTCAGTCCGTTCCGAATATGAAATTCTTATTAATTAAATAGGAAGAATACAAAATGTGTAAAAAATAATAGAAATAAGTACATTTCATAGTTTAAATATTTTTTCAGTAAAAAAAATCTTAATACAATATGTAGAATGATGACAATATAAATACATAATATCTTGATTTATACTACTATTTCAAAATACTGTTTATAGTGATATTAACCATGCCAATGGTTGAGTTAAATTTCGTTTTAATGGATCTATTACCCTTTTATTGTATTACCTAAATCAAAAAATAAAATGATAAAAAAATCTAAAATCTAAAAATTTCGTGCAAACAATTATTTGGAATGGATTGTGTGAGTACCAATTAGGATTTTTTTTTTTTTTTTTTTAAATTTATTACTATTTAAAAGAGAAACAGAAACGCGATAAACGTTGTTAAAGTATAGTGAATTATTTTTAATTTAAAACGGTGCAGTTTTTAAACTTTAAAATTAATATTGTTGAATTTTTAACTTTGGACAACTATTGTCTTTCAAATTAAGACCATAGTTACAATAAGAATTTGCATTCTAATAAGAATTTGTATTGTTCCTATTTAATTAATAAGAATTTCATACCATACACTAAATCTTGTCATATATAAATACTATTTTGATAACAAAATAAAAAAAGAAAGTAAAAGGCAATTGGTGAGCAGAGCAGGTTAGGTTATGGAATTATGTATAATCTATTCCCCATGCTTATAAGCTTTGATCTTAATGACAATAGAGAATTATTTACGACAAATCTAAAAAAAAAAAATGAGAACCATCACAGATTACGAGTTAAAAATAAACTATCGTCCTAGGAAATAAGCTCAACCTAATTATTTAGATATTGGACCTTATTTGGCTAGGACTAATGAGTAGACGCGGCCGCATGTTTAATGACAATATAAAAGCACAGCAAAAAGGAAGCTAACTTTTTAGAAAATTATTATTTTTAAAAGTACAGTAATCTTTTCATTATTTTTCAGAAAATGATATCCTTGAAGACTCATCAAGGAGTCTGAGAGGTTGCAGAATTAAATGGTAAGCGTGTTGACTGGCTGGAGGCCAACAACAGAATTTGCTACAGTTCTGGATCTATTTCGAGTCCGGAGTACACTACAAAACCTGTTTAAAACCTTTTGCTTCTAAGTACTCTCTCTACAGTCTCTCGCCGGAAACTCTCCTTTCTCCGGCTATGAGGTACTACTGCTTTTTCTTCTTTTTGAGTTGGAGTTTGAGTTCATCCATCGGAGTGTGTGTGTGTGTGTGTGTATATATATATATATAATTTTAGTTTCTTCTACAGTAACTAGAAGTGTGTTTGTGTGTGTGTGTGTGTGTGTCTCTCTCTCTCTAACCATTTCATCTCTCTATCTTTCTCTCTAACCATTTCTGAAGCTCTTCCCCTCCACCAAAAACTCTCTCTCTGGGGCAAAGTTTTCTCTCTCCGGCAACATCTCGGAGCCACCGCATAAGCTCGGTTTTTTTTTTTGCTCTGTCTCTGTCTCTGTCTCTGTCTCCTTCTTCTCTCCCCCTCCTCCATCTTTTTTTCCTTCTGTTTAATAATATATTATAACCACTTGCTGATTGTTCATTTCCTAACTTCTGTAAGTTTTCTTAACTGATCTTCACTTCTTTTTTTTTCTCTCTCTCTAAAGGTTTGCTTCAAGACTTCCTAAATTAACTTCTGTAAGTTTTTCTTAACTAATCTTCACTTCTTTTTTTTATTATTTTTTATGTTATACGCAAACACATACAAATAATATATACACATATATACTTCTATATTAGAAATCATTTACTTGGATGCTTGTGTTTCTTTATATCTATATATTGATTGTACATATCTGATTGTTAAAGGATATATGTATATTTGCTGAAAAGGAAAATTGAAGAATTGAGTGTTTTTTTTTTTTTTTTTTTTTTTTCTTTTTCTCAAAAGGTAAGAATGGATTGTTTTTGTCTCTGTCTCTGTCTCCTTCTTCTCTCCCCCTCCTCCATCTTTTTTTCCTTCTGTTTAATAATATATTATAACCACTTGCTGATTGTTCGTTTCCTAACTTCTGTAAGTTTTCTTAACTGATCTTCACTTCTTTTTTTTTCTCTCTCTCTAAAGGTTTGCTTCAAGACTTCCTAAATTAACTTCTGTAAGTTTTTCTTAACTAATCTTCACTTCTTTTTTTTTTTTATTTTTTATGTTATACGCAAACACATACAAATAATATATACACATATATACTTCTATATTAGAAATCATTTACTTGGATGCTTGTGTTTCTTTATATCTATATATTGATTGTATATATCTGATTGTTAAAGGATATATGTATATTTGCTGAAAAGGAAAATTGAAGAATTGAGTGTTTTTTTTTTTCTTTTTCTCAAAAGGTAAGAATGGATTGTTTTTGTGATCACATATCGTATATACACACAAACACACATCAAATTAAAAAATGTTCCTTTTAATCAAATCCTTTTTCTTTCTATTAAAAAAAACTAAAACTGATTGCATGCTTTACCAGTTGATTATAATATATATCTTGAAAACAATCATAAGTTTAGGTCATTAACAACAAAATCATTGATGATTTGGTTGCTTTCGTCAAATATTTGTTGTTTTTTCATGTGACAATGGGGTCATGCATGTAGCAAATTAATAGTTTGAAGTTTGAGTTTTCATAACATATATGGTCACTAGGAGAGAGTGTGTGTATATATATAATTTTAGTTTCTTCTACAGAAACTAGAGATCTCTAACCCTTTTGTGTGTGTGTGTGTCTCTCTCACCATTTCATCTCTCTTTAGCTCTTTGTTTGTGAAAAATAGTGATTTTGTAGTCTTTGTTCGGCTTCAAGATCTTCACGTTTAATCTCTGTCTCTGTCTCTCTCTCTAAAGGTTTTGATTTTGGAATGGAAAATTTGGATGCGCCAACTTTGGATGTGGCTACAGACTTGCTTGAGCAGATGAATGACCTCAAACTGGAACTCAAAAAGAAGGTAAGGAAGGGCTCCCTTGTTTCTTGTTTTACTGGTTCTTTTTGTTGTATGTATTTGGTGACTCAGTGACCTCAAACTGGAACTCAAAAAGAAGGTAAGAAGTTCTCATGCCCCAAACTTTTTTCATTGTATCCACAACCGGTGCTGTGGATGTCTTAGCACAGATGAAAATGCTTGGGTGGCATGGGAGGTTGAAAGTAAAAGATGGCCTGCATCATTGTTTGAGGGAAACGATTGAGTTAATGCTGGGGAGACTAAGGCTTTACTATAGTTAACTGAATTCCTTTCCAAGGCCGCAGTCGATTTCGCCAATGGTGGCTATTCCCTTAATTATGGCAATGTCATGTTTTTAACTTTAAGAACTAAGATTTGATGTTTGGACCGCTTGGTAATTTGGTTTTGTATGCTAATAGTCGGCGCACCATATGACTCCATTCCTCCTTGTTACATTGATTCTAGCAATGTCATGTTTTTAACTTTAAGAATTATATATGATTTGATGCTTGGTAATTTGGTTTTGTATGCTAATAGTCTGCCCACCATATCCATTCCTTGTTACAGCTGCGATGGTAAAACATGGCAAGTTTACATCTCAGCCCCATCAGTACCTTAAGGTGGTGGAATAGGTAATCAGGTTTTGTAACATAACTATTCAATATAATCAAAAGGAGGCGGAAATTATATAATCAGTACAACTTACACACTTGCGTTGTTGTTGACCACAAATTCAAGTAAATTCTTATTTTGATTGGTCAGAACACCACCCCCACGACAAACTGGAAACTTTATATCCCAAAGTCGCAAATAGCTATCCAGTCCTGGAGAAAGAATAAGTTTTTCACTTCAGTGGTTGCAAGAGAAATTTACCCTCAACTCTCTGTTTTCAAACAAGAATAGAATGGAAGAAAGTTAGTAGGTGACACAAGGTTATATATTGTCCTCAGAACTATTATGCAACTGTCTGGACCAACAGATGAAAAGATGTCTCCTTAAATTTGCTTCTTCATAAAGATTATTCGACTTACAACACAATACAAGCACCAGAGACCAAAGTCAAAATCTACATCAATCAACAATGGGAAGCAAAAAAAAATCATAATCGACACAATATGATCAGCTTAGAAGTACTACCTTACAGGTTGGGTTCTGGGCATAATGCATATGTGTATGTGCAAATTCACATGGTGATGACAATATTAATCATCCCAGACAAGTTGACAAACCTACCAATGAATTAATTTACTGATAAGGTGTTGAGGATGTATTGGAAGTATTTGGGGACAAATCAACTACAAATAACCAGAAAAAACCCGGATGGAGGTTCTGTGCTATGCACAATCCACAGCTATGGCAACATTTCATTATCCAAAAATTTGAACCAAATCAAAATAGAAATAACAATATGTTTCATTCCAGATCACACTTTAATATCAGTTATTGAAATAATTTCTTATATGCCCAGCAGTAAGATCGCTTTTGAGATTTGAAATCACCATCTGAAACTTTATTTCTCAATTAATAACTTACAACAAAGGCAAATCTTACCATTATGCAATTTATATCAAACCTTTTTATTAATTCAATACTAAATGAACAGCGAGAGATGGAAGTGATATCTATGGAGGTGAGAGAATCATTTAGGATCAAGGTATGTTGAACAGGTTGCTCTTGATTGATATCAAGTTATCAACATTGGGTACTCTCTATTTGTGGGACAATAGGGTGGATTAGAAAACTGATGAATGGAGAAGGTTCTATTTGTTTCCAATCATATTACAAATTACAAACTCAAAGGATGTTCATTTGGTCCTTCATGGGTGTATATGGACCGGTCGAGGATGCCCACATGGGTGAGCTTTGGGATGATCTTATGGAAGTAAAAAAAGTGATGGGAGAAGCCTCGTGTATAGTATCCTCATTTAGGGGGGAAAGAAATTGTGAGTGCCATGCAAGATTTTGTAGATTTTATTCCTTTAAAGGGAACAACATTTACCTGGCAGTAGGCAGAAGTCTCCCACCATGTCTCAAATGGACCACTTTACTCATCTCTTGAAGGCAGTAGTCTCCTTTTCTTTTCTTGAATACCGAGGCCTGTCGGACAGACCGCCAGTCGGGCTTGGGGCTACAAACGAACTGGAAAGATGGGCTTGGCAGACTAGAACCCCAAGCCCAGGCTCGCTCAATAAGGAGGCTTATATCTTTTTGGTAGCGTACGATTAGGGTTTAGCTTGGTTACCCATATATATGAAAATGTAATCATTTTCATGACTGATTGAGATTATTGATCATTGATTCAGAGCTCTCCCCCTAATTTCTTCTCTATTCTTCTTCACTTTTCTCTCCCCTGTTCCTCCATCTACAAACTAAAAACTACATATTAATGATTTAATGGATAGTTATCCTTTAACTCCTTGACAAGATAGACCTCAGATTAAGCAATGGCTAGACTGCACGGTTTTGGCCCAAATGGGCTAATCCTGGCCTGTCCAGCGCAAGTTTGGTTCCAGTTGAAGAATAAAGAGCTAAATCTCCACCAAAATTCTTAATGTCAAAAAATTCAACTACTCACTCAAGCAATAATTGCAAGGATTAACTTGGACCAATTACAAACATGAATTCGAAATGCAAAAACATCAATGGTAACCATTTCAATATGGCAGACTACCCACATGTACATACATAAAAAATACATAGAAAATCAAGTTCTTGGAATTATGTGTATACGAAACTGTAAATTTCTGTTCGAACATCAACAAAAGCAAGGTCACCCAATCCATTTCCTAGAAATATTGTATGACCATCTAGATCTTCAGTGACTGCTTTAATTGGGGTCTCGCGAAAATCTGGCCTTCTCTTAGTAGAAATATCATAGAGGCGAACCTGCAGAAGATAATAAGGAATACAAGTTACCAAGTGGGCAAGTGGCCGGTAAAACCATCATTTGGGTTTTTGCCATGGACCTAAAGTAACTAACTTCCCTCAACATATCATTTAATTAGTTTATTTTATAATCGGATCCCTATATATTTGTGGATCACTAACAAATTATTCAACAAACAATTGGTTGATGCTTCTAATAACCTCTGACCTACTTTGCCCAAAAACTGAACTACCATTATTTTTTGTCATGGCCTCACTTGATTACCGGAATTGGACAGGATTGGAAAGTCACTCTTGCAGCCATGGTTTACTGTCCACTTGAAAAGGTTTGGGAATTCAAAACTGCCAGAGGAAATGAAGCACCCTTAAATTGAACTCAACCAAGAGCTTATCTTGGATCGAGTTCCATTACTTTCCTCTAAACTCAAAGCTGTGGACTTTAAACTTCTAGTGGCCATGAAGATTTTCAGTGACCTTAATTAACTTTTCAGAAGATTCTTGTGGACTGAGACTGAGATGATTGAGGCCTTATGGGGATAAAGTTGCTTGGAAGAAGTGATTTTACCTAAAAAGGAAGGCGGCTTAGGAATAAGAAGTTTGGCTAGCTGGAATAGAGATAGAGTTCCTATTGTGAAGCATAACATACAATGATACATCTGATGTAAACTAATTATAAACTAATGTAGTCCCCAAGCTAAGGGTCAATCCTGGAGGTTGTTATAAACTAAGACGCGAGCTCTTGGTGAAACCACCACCCCATTACAAACTAATTTATTTTGAAATTAGTTAAACCATAGTTAAAACCTCATCCAATTGGGATAGAACTGTCAAATCACAATGCAGCTTCACTTGATGAACAAACTAGATTTCCAAAGCCTTGTCACAGCTAAATACACTTGCTTGAATGGAGTACACAGTTAGATAAGCAAGGTAACTAAAGAACATCTCCGAATAGGTTTAAACCCTAAATTAAAGGGTAAAAGGGTGTCACTTCACAATACAGCTCCAAGAATGATCTGCAGTTGCCTTCCACAGATCTATATAGCTAAGATACACTTGCTTAAGATATAAACTCAGGGAAACCAGCAAGATATAGCAATGTAAGAACACAACAGCCTTTTAATCTTTCAAACCCTAGTTTTAGCCTTTCAAAGGTAAAACTGGAATTTCACTTGAACATGAAGTTAAACCTAGTTTCCACAACCTTGATAACTCAATACATACTTGCTCAACAGGTTGAAACAGTGGATGGAGCAAGATAAATCTCAGTTCACAATAGGCTTGAAACACATTTCTAGCGACGGTAAAAACATCTTGTGAGAGTTTTTGATATTGCTGTGTTTAATCATGTTGGTATTCATCTCTATGCTTTGGTATTAGACGCTTCCCTTATCAACACGAAGTTGAGAAAAATGGAGAGACATTAGGGTTCGAATCGATTTTAATTGTCTAATAAATTCCGAAGTTGCAAGCATAAATTGATCTAGTGGACTAGAAATTAGAGTTGGAACTCCAGAGAAAAAATAGAGGAAGTGGAAGCTAAACTTTTTTTTTTTTGAAAGATGATACAACTGCCAAGTCCAAGTACTGTCATTTAGGACTTATTAACTAATTTCTCCAAATTGCAATAGCTGTACATTTACACAAATAACATCATCTGGAGAAATTAGCAGCAGACTAGTAACTAGCAGCAATCACACTACTGCCAACCAATCAGAACAAGTAAGAAGCATAAATTCATTAAGTTTGCTTTAAGTGTTAATATGCTAGCAAAACAGAGGTGGAGAATGAGAATTGAGGATGGGAGGGAATTTTATTTTATTTATTATTATTTATTTATTTATTTATTTTTTCTTAATTAATTAATTACTGATTCTAGCAAGAAACCCGCGCACTCACGTGACCATCCTTTGACCTTCTACCTTAAAAGATGAGAAATACCACGCCTTAGGCGGTCAATATGAGTTCACTCTACGAAACAAAAATATTTCCTCAATGTTTTCTTTGGTGGCCACAGTAAAAAATGGTGCCTAATTTCAAAGGTCAGCTAATTAGGGGAATATATCTCCTATTCAGCAATTTTTTACACCCGAAGACTGTTTGAATATCTCTTGTAAGCTGATTTCACCATGAAACATCCATCTCCTGAAAAAGCCCAAATTTGGTTATCATCACTCCTAGACTCCTAATAGGAATTTTGAGAATTCAAACAGTCTTCGGGTGTAAAAATTGGTGGAATATGTCTCATATTCAGCAATTTTTTACACCCGAAGACTGTTTGAATTCTCAAAATTCCTATTAGGAGTCTAGGAGTGATGATAACCAAATTTAGGCTTTTTCAAGAGATGGATGTTTCATGGTGAAATCAGCTTACCAAGTAGCTTTAATGTTGGCTCAGCATAATAATAGCTCTTTTGTGAAGGCTGCAGTTATAACATATTAGAGCTAAAGAAAAATAAAATCTTCATTTCTTGTGGAACTGCTGCCATGGAAGAATTCGGGTTTTTCTGAACTTGAAACAAAAGGGTGCAGGGATGTTGATACTTGTGGTTTCAGTTTTGAATCAGTATAGATGAGGGGTCATCTCACCAATCTATGCAGCAGTGGCTCAGAAATCTGATGGACATCCT